GAGCTCGAGATCCAGAAACTCGGGGAGACCCTACCTCGAAGGACGGTGACCAGAGGCAAGTGGAGGGAGGCACGATCCTTCAGCACTGCACAAAACTCGGGCCAGCGCGGGAAGGTCTTAATGGCGGCCCGCATCAAAGACGCCAAGTTTTGAATTAGAGCGCCCTGGAAGCGTGGGCCATTCCACGCGTGGAGGTTGAACATATCAGCTCTGGACAGCTGGCAGAATGGCGAGGCATGCGCTGCGGCCAGGGCGGCGCGTTCGGACCTCAGGAAGGCGGCGGGGAGGAGGAGGAACTGAGAGACGTAGGAGAGGACCGTAATCACACGTGAGTTGTAGAGCGCCGCCGCGAGCACAGGTGGCGGGCGGGCTTTAGCCAACAGGCAGCTGTGCGCACAGTATTTGTCCTGCGGGCTCTTCAAAGATTCCTGGGTCACCGCGGGCCCCATCCACATCCCGAGGTACTTGAGACAGGGCGAAACCTCGAATTCAGACCATTCAGGCAGGTTCTGGATGATCCAATTTTTGACCGCAAGTGCTAACTCTGGCGTGAATCTTCCTGAGAGCGGAACAATGAAACATTTCTTAAATTTGAGACGCAGGCTGGAGACACGGGTGGCCGCTCTGAATACAATGGCCATATTTTCAGGGCGGCGGGTCGAAAAAAAACACAGCACCAACATCGCCTGCGCAGCATCTGACCACTCCTTTCTGCGGGGTGTTGATCTGGACGTTAAACTGGAGCATGAAGGGTCTAGTGGCTATCGCGCACAGCACGCCAGAGGCTGGGCAGCCTTGCACTATCCCCGAGGAAATAAAACACATCATCAAACATTCGCCGCCGATCTGTCCAGAGCAGGCAAGGTGCGTATAAATGACGCGAAGGAAGCCGAGGAGGGGAGGCGGGAGACAAAGAGACTCGAGGACTCTGAAAATCCACGAGTGCGCAATTGAAGGAAAAGCCTGACCATAGTCATATGAAACGAGAATCGGCAGGTCGATTTCCGAAGTCTCAGAGAGGCCCGAAGCTCTCGACCACGCGTCCAGCTCGATAATGTTATCCCCATGGTTCTTCCCGCGAATAAAACCCCTTTGGATAGGGTCCACAATCTGGGGGGCACGCCTCGACAAAGGAGAAATACGCGCGCTAGTGAGGATTTTGCAATCAGCGCTTTTCAATCCTAGCGGCCTCACCGCTGCTGGTTCCCGAACAAGATCATCCCCTTCAGCTCCCCCGTCAACGCCCTTAGGTATGAAGACCCCTTGAGCTCATTGAAGTCTAAGAGCCCCCCCTTCCCCCCCCCCCCCCCCCAGACACCACCTGAGAGCTATCTCTAATATCTCGACTCCTTTCGGGTGGTTCCGCCAGGCCTGGTAAGGTGGCCCATCTGGGCCAGGAGCGCTGGCCGGGAGCTTTTGAAGCAGCCTCTTGGTCGTCATTCTCGTCGGTGGCTCAAGATCGGCCAAGGACTGCGAGAAGCCATAGCGCTGGAGGTACCTGGCAGCGGCAATCTCGTCCACGGGCTTGGCGGCAAAGACCTGGCCCCAGTGAGCAGCTAAACCTTCTAATACCTGAGCGGGTTCTTGAACGACACGGTCGGTCAACTGAAGTCCCCGAAGACACAAACGCCGACTAAACAGACCCCAAAGTCGCCCCCGTGTCTGAAGCCCTCGGAGTTCCCTGCGAAGTTTAGCTCGCTCTCGGTCTGAAGCAGCAGCCTGAAGCTGGGCGCGTGCGTCGCCTTGCGCGCGCTGGTTGGCCTCCTCATGCAGAGCGTTGGTCAGCTCACAAAACTCGCTGGCCCGCACTAGCTGGACAGATTTGCGAATCGGGTCGAGCTCGAGAAACCTGGCGACGATCGGGTGCGAACGAAATAGCTTATCGGCGAGAACGTAGTCCTGGCGAACAACCGCTCGACTGATCGATTTCAGGGCAATAAGGCGAGCCAGGGGCGAGTGCTGCTTTCCGAACACTATCTGGCCACGCGCAGCTCGGGCGGCATCTTTCATCATCTGTTTGTGGAAGTCCGGCAAGAGCGGGGGGGGGGGGGTCCGCTCAGATGTGTCAGCCACCTTCATTACACGGTCTGAACGTTCAGCGTATCGTGGGCTCTTGTAGACCTCGGGGTGGATGCCTTTTCTGAACCTCGGGGACAGCACTACGAGGAGCCAATTGGGCAGTGATGGCGGCATGATCAGATAGGACTGTTCGGTGGAGCACATCTGGGAACCCCTTGACCTGGGCTGTGGCGGCGAGCTGTGTCAGCGCCCAACCTGGCAGCGACGTAAACATGCGGCCTAGAGCCGCGAGCATGTCGGTGGCCGCACAGTAATGTGCGGGTTCCACCACAGAAAAACTCCAAGGGCGATTGGAAGCACCTTTCCCGAGACGCGTTGCGTGCTCCTCTCCACTCCTGAGCTTGAGAAACCTGAGGAGGTCCTGGAAGGCCCTGGTCTCCAGACTCCAATCGAACAGCAGGGGCAGGGGGGAACAGCGGAAACATTGAAGTCGCCCAGGACAACCAAAACTCTTTGACAAGGTGCTTCCTGACCCCACTGGAGGTCGTTGCCATATCTTGGCTAAGATGGAGTCCCTCTCGGAGGCCTCGAACCCGAAGTTATGTATATTGTAGTGCCGTAACCCAACATTGCTCGCAAACAGGATCGTGAGTTTCACAACTCTGCCAATGACCAGGACCTCGGGAGTAACCTCGGGGATATCCTGGGGGTGGCTGTCGGAGAAGTCGGGAAGGAAGGTGGCGACGCCGCCCGCGGGGTGAGGGTGGGCTGGGAGGAAGGAGTGGAACGCTTGAGCTGGCCGATGTAAGTGGTAAGGGGAAATCCTGGAGCTCTGTCGGGGACCCTCTTGCCTCCTGCACGCTGGCTACTGCGCCTGGAACTAGCAGCTGGCTACGGTAGGAGAACTTGCGGGTGCGCAGGAAGAGGTTGCTGTGGAAGAGGGATCTTGCATTCCATGAAGCAAAGGAGAGAGGGCGGGGATGAGGGAGAAGCCATTGCCACTGCCTGACGAGTGTACTACCCACTCCACAGGACAGGTACTGGGCCCTGCAGGAAGGGCTCGATTGCGGCCTCGATCCTCTGGCGGTCGATACCGAGCGACGTGACGTGATCCATCGCCCACTCGATCTTGAGCCTATCGTTCTGGACGGGCTCCACTCGGATCGGCTTCCACTGCGCGGACAGCTCACCTCTCTCCTTGTTCGCGAAGACCCTATGCTCGCCATGGATATGCTCAACTTCTCGGCGAATCTGTCTGAGTAGCAACTCCTTCTTGACCTGGCATGCGGACTTGTCGGCCGAAACGTGGATATCCACAGGCACTCCGTCGATGTCGTTGGTGTGGAACCGTTCCCACGACTGCGGCCCAGTGCGCAAGGCCGAGAGAGCCATGGCGACCTTCCGAGCGGCATATTGGGCGGAGCCCTTGACTCGGATCTGGAAGCGACGTGCAACGGGTTCGGTTTCGAGCTGGATGTCGTCGGGGGAAAGCGAGGCCCTGAGCAACCAGTTCCGCAGCGCGGGAAGGATGTTCTGCTTGGGCGTGTTCGTCTTGGTCCTGGCGACGATGATGGCGGAGTCGGGCGGCCTGTCGAATGAAGCTGAGTGATCGATGGGGTCGGTGGGCTTCACACTGCATGACTCCCAATATGGCCTGCAGCTCATGGATCTTCCGCTCCATCTGATCGACCCTGGTGTCCGTCTTCTTTTGTTTGTCCTCCGCACTGGCAAGACGGGACTCGACCTGTCGTGAGAGCGTAGAACATGAGGTATTCACCGTGTTGGCCAGGGCGGCGACGCTGGATTGGATGCCTGCGATCGCCTCGAGGAGGCTTCGTTTGGTGTCGTCGACGTACCTACGCAGCTCCACAACCTCGGTCCCGATGCAGTTCTCGAAGTTGTCATCTCCCTCGTGCGGGGGAGCATGGGTACCTCCACGGTGTTCATCATTGCGGCTGCGACTGCGACGAGCGTCATCAGCTGCAGCACCTTTGGCACGTGGGCGTTGGACGCCACGAGAGGGGAGGACCTCCTGCGACGGGAAGGTTGGCGCTGCCTCAATCTGAGCTGCAAGGGCTCTTGCACTTGACATCTGGGTCCCATGATCACCCATCTCTCGCTCGCTACCTGGTAGCGGCACCCGAAACAAAACAGAGGGACGTTGCCAAAATGCGACACACAGCGCTTGACGCTCCTGTGTGGGTCGTTGGATGAAAACCTGCGGGGCTTGGGGGGGCCAGCCCCTCAGCTGCAACCAAGCTTGAGCCAAAATAGCTTGAGCCAAAATGGCTACGGACCTCCTCCTCCTCTTCCTCCTCCTCCACCTCCTCCTCCTCCTCCTCCCCCTCCTCCTCTTCCTCCTCCCCAGAACTCCCGCAAACGGTAGGGCCCCTCGCTTGCCGCCAGGCGACCCCGACGAGGCGCCGAGCGCCCCGTCGATCCCCGCGGGCAGCCCGGGCGGGCGGGGCGCGCCGCCTGCCGCACGCCGGCGGCGCGGCCGCCGCGGGGCGCACCGGCCCTGCAGGGCGGGAACACAGCGACGACAGGCGACGGCAGGCGACGACAGGGGACGACAGGCGGCCGCGGCGGCGGCAACGGCGGCGGCGTCGTCGTCGTCGCCGTCGCCGTCGCCGTCGCCGTCGCCGTCGCCGTCGTCGTCGCCGTTTCCGTCGCCGTCGCCGTCGTCGTCGTCGTCGTCGTCGTCGTGTTCGTCGTCGTGGTCGTCGTCGTCGTCGTTGTGGTCGTCGTCCTCCTGCTCCTCCTGTTCCTCCTGCTCCTGTTCCTCCTGCTCCTGCTCCTGCTCCTGCTCCTGCTCCTGCTCCTGCTCCTGCTCCTGCTCCTGCTCCTGCTCCTGCTCCTGCTCCTGCTCCTCCTCCTCCTCCTCCTCCTCCTCTTCGGCGGGGAATAGAACTCGTCCCTCCTCTTCCTCCTGCTCCTGATCCTGCTCCTCCTCCTCCTCCTCCTCCTCCTTCTCTTCCTCCTCCTCCCCCTCCTCGTCGTTCTTGTTGTTGCGCGGCGGGTGCCGCGGATGAATCATTATTGGGACCCCAAGCCTTACACAATTAGTAAACCCTTCTTGGGGGGGGTATCTAAAGACCCTTCAGGGCTAAGTACGCCATGATGGCGAAGGACGAGATTTCTTCCTCTGAAGTCCTGGCAGGCATTCCTCTTCACTGCGGGAAGCCCCTCGTTAAAGGACGACGCCCCTCCCCCCCCGCGCCCCTGCCATGGACACGACGGCCTCCTTCTTGTGAGTAGGCCGAAGGCGACGAGGAGGAAGAGAATGAGGAGGTTGGTTGGGAATTGAACGATCCGAGGTTGTACAGAACGCATGGGTTCAAAAGCACAGCAAGAACCATAATATCGAATCGGGAGGTCGGATCCGACCGGAACGAGCATCGAATCGAGCCGCACTGGCACTGGTTCGGAGCCGAATATTGGACCGAATGTCGGCGGCGCCAGGATGAACCACAGCACCATGCAAGCAGCGAGCTGCATCGGATCGCCCGAACCTCGGAATCGAATCGCATCGGGCCTGCCAGAGCCGATATCGCATCGAATCGATCGGATCGACACTTGCTTTGAGCGCCGCCCTTCGACGTCCTCGCCGTCCTCGCCCTCCGCCGACCCCCGAACTCCACATTATCCCCTGGGTGTGATGAGACCAGAATCATATACGGTCATGCGCCGACCCTCGGCCCGGAACCGGCTAGGCCAAGATCGGTACGGCAGGTTCGTGTCGTGTCGACCCCGGCGTTGGTTCCTGACACCGCGGGGATCGTTCAACCTTGAACGATCGGCCGTTTCCGAAACGTCCCAATCGCTCCACATCGAACGATTCTGGGTCCCCCGCGGCGTTCAACGTTGAACGCCGCTGGCGGGGTCGCCGCCGGTCGACAAGACACGCACCAACCGTACAGGTGTACAGTTGGAACCGTGCGACACCCCCTGAGAGACGGCAGTGCGAAGAAGAGCTGCAACACCGCCCGGAAAAAAGACCAGGACCGGAGCCCTGGACTTGATCGTCCTGCGGGATCTGCTCGGGCCAGGTCGATCTGTGATGGCCCCGGGAGAGAACGCCCAGCGTGGAAGAATCGCAGCGCCCACGTTCACCCCCCTCGGCACTGCCCGACCTTCCAAAGGCCTCCCATATGGGGTCCGTGGAGATGGTGTCGGAGGATCGCCGCCGCATCGCCGATGCGACGTCGCCGTGGAGAACATCGGGGCCACGGAGGAGGAGGAGGGGGGGGAGGAGGAGGAGGATTATGCTGGACTATGCTGATCGAGCGAACACGATGCCCCATGTAATCGCGCCGCGGGTCATCCTGGCCATATCGGGCCGTCCCCGAGCCGAGCCAAGATGCCGTGCCCTCCGAGGGCTAGCCTCAAAGGGGTTTTGCTGTGGTGGGGTGTGTATCCTGCCAAAGTCTCTTAAGCCTACCCCCGATCACCCTTTGGGCCCCAGAGCGACATGGGGAAAATAGGCTCGGCCACCTGTCGCGGGCATACCTGGCACACCTACGACAGAAAACGTACGATGGACGGAACACAAGTTTATCTCTAGCTTTGTCGACCCTGACAGCTCCCCAGTCCAGAATGGCCCGTGGAGGGGGGGGGGGGCCGCCACGGGGGGGGAAGGAGCCTCCTCGCTCCTTTCACCCTCACCGCCAGCCGTCCCAGGAAGCCCAGTGAGGTCCAGGAACTCCGAGACGGAGTCGGGGGGGTTCGAGTCCGTCGTTGGACTCGAGCCCTTCTCAGTGTCGACTATGTCGCTGCCTAGTACTCCTACATACGCTCCGAATTCGAGAAGGGAGAAAGAGGAGGAAGAGGAAGAGGAAAAGGAGAAGGCGGAGGAGGAGGAAGAGGAGGCGGAGGAGGAGGAGCAGGAGGAGGAGGAGCAGAAGGAGTATGAGTATGAGTATGAGTATGAGTATGAGTATGAGTATGAGTATGTGGAGGAGGAGGATGAGGAGGATGAGGAGGATGAGGAAGAGGAGCAGGAGCCCGTCGCCGACGCGGAAAAGCCCCCGATGTGAAAAAGGCGATGCAGCGCCCGGCTCTCGGGGCCGGCCCGGCCCGGCCCGGCCGGCGTCGGTCTTTCTTGAGCTGTGGGTGCAGCGGGCGGCCTCCGACGCCCGGGCGGCCCAGGGGCGGAGCGCTGCGAGCCGCCGCCGTCGTCGTCGTCGTCGTCATCGTCGTCGTCGTCGTCGTCGTCGTCGTCGGTTGTCGTCCGTTGCCGGTCGTCGTCCATATATAAGTAGCCCCCCGAGAGCCGACACCGCGATGAAAAATGCAGGGCCCTGCGACGGGTTCTTGTCGTGCCGCCTTTGGCGTTGGTTCCTGACACCGCGGGGATAGGTAAACCTTGGACGATCGGCCGTTTCCGAACCGTCATATCGTTCAACATCGACCGACTCAGAGTCGCCAGCGACGTCCAACGTCGAACACAGGCAACGTGGTTGCCGTCGATCGGCACGACGCGAATTTACCGTAGACCTACTTTTTCAGTTTTCAGCTGCATTTTTCAAACCGGATCGATGTGTGATGGCCCTGGGGCCCAGACCGGGCGAAAAATCCCAGTGTGAAAAAATCGCAACGACAGGATCTAGCACTCGGGTCACAACTCGCATGTCTGGCGGCCATTCTGGACGATACGAGCACCGCACCCGTTCTGGACGAACCGGACGCCTCTCGGCGAAACGCGGCCGCTGGAACGCACCCCGAGGCTGGAATCGAGAACCAAAGAAGACGCTCGAAATCATCGGGCCCGCCCCCCGCCCCTCGGGGCCGCTGCTTCGCCCCGGGCCGATCTTCGACGGCCCCGGGGCAGGAGGAAGGCCCCCGAAGGCCGGCTACTGCCGCCTCGTTTTGTTCAGAGCCTCGCGGCCCCTTCGGGGCCCCTGGCGTAGAGAGCAGAAAATCCACCCTCATGCGAATCACCCCGACCCGCAACGCCGCTTAGTAAACGCACCCAGAGGAGGAATCGAACATGGCAAGGCTGTTTCGTAAAAGCCCAAGGCAGCTCAGTATACGCCAATGCTCGGGTCTGGGTGGTTTGTCCTCCGTTGACATGGGGGAGCCAAGATTACTCTTCGGACCTCTCCGTGGGTGCCTTCTGAACAGGTTTTCGGTGCGACCCCAGCGACGAGGACGGCCCAGGAGGCCCAACAAGGACATCGGGCGAATGGTAGCGGTATGGGTACCTATTCGTCCTCTGATTATCACATCTGGGTGGTTTTTGTTTCCCTTGAAAGCGGCCTCGCGGACCATCCGCGCCCACCGCGCGAGCGCCCGCGGCGGGCGCCCCGCACGCGCGCATGCCGCGCGCGCGCGGGCCGCGCCGGGCCGCCGCGTCGGGCCGCCGCGGGAAGCGCGCGCAGCGCGGCGGGGCCCGTCACAACTGCGGGCGCGGCCGGCAGGCGGAACGGTGCACCGCGCGGGGGGCGGCTGTCGGACCTGATTGGAGAAGGCACTCCTCCGCCTCCTCCTCCTCCTCCTCCTCCTCCTCCTCTTCCTTTTCCTCCTCGTCCTCCTCGTCCTCCTCCTCCTTTTCCTCCTCGTTTTCCTCCTCCTCCTCCTCGTCCTCCTCCTCCTTTTCCTCCTCGTCCTCCTCCTCCACCTCCTCCTCTTCCGCGAGACGGCATATGTGACGCACAGAGACATAGTAGTACGATGTTTCCTCCGTGGAGGCGCGCGTCCGACCCGACCATATCGTACACCCACCTTGTAGCACCTCGTTTCCTGGGCGGTGCGGCTAAACAACGCCCACAACGACGCATCTACTATAAGATTTCTCGGTGCGCGCGCCGTTTCTAGGGGGCGACGCACACATAGTAATGCCAGCTTGTAATTAACAACAGATGTTCCCCTGCTCGGGCGAAGCAACGGCGGCGGCGCCAATGATTGGCG